CATCCAACATGGACCGAACCTACGCGACACCTACAACATCTACAAAAACAGATGCCGTCGCAAGTATACGTGTTCCTGGTGTTGAAAGCTAGGGCTGTCGTCCGTTGTAATGGTCGCGTGCGGGATCATAGTATGGTTTGTTTCCTACTATCCGTTAGTTAACCTGCACCAGATACCGAACAGAAGATCTATTCATCGACTCAAAAATATACGTACCGTTGTTATTAGGAACTCGCTCCCTCGGTCGGTTGTCTCTGCAAAGATCAGTGTCGAGCCCAGCTGCACGACAACCTTAGTCGACCTACCTGTAACGGAAGCTATGCCAGAGGTACCATCTCGCGACCCAGTTCTCTTCGTTGACATGAAGCATGTAACGACCGATGTCATAATACGGTCTTGTTTCCGCGCAAGCATCGCGTACGATCATCAAAATATGCAGATGTTTCGACGTTTCCGACAACTCGTCCCATCTATATGGTTCTGCTACAGAGGGGTCTGCCCTCGATTGCTCGGTCAAATTGTAGCGGTTTGAGCTCAATGCGTTTCTGGCAGCGACAGCTTCGGCCTACGGAGGGCGTGTGGGTTAGCGGACGGCCTTCTATTGTCAGGCGAATACTTACGAGAAGCAGTCTGTGTGTACTCTCACTGAGTTTAAGTCGATTGCAAAGCTCGCTCTTGCTGGCGCTCTGGGAAAGAGGCGGCTGGGTCATGGTATGGCGACGTTCCCTAATAGGATCGTTCATCACGCCAATGGTACGAAAAGAGCAGCTCAGGTGAAATTAGATATGGGAAACAGAAAGTCAGGTCTCTTTGTCTTATATCTGGGGTCGACAGCCGTGCAGGAAGATCTTATGGAGTCGCTGTCATGTGACAATCAAGGTCCGTCCCGTCCTCTTTCCTTCCGCTGTGACACGGCGCATACGCCACATTATGAGATAATGGAGATCTGATTCGAGAAATACCCATTTCCCACCCTTACTCGCCTGGCCCCGGCGCCATGCTCTCGAGGTGGCTTCACATGCAGCTAGCGAATCTTAGGTGTTATGCCTGGCCAGCGCCGATCTATTGACGTGGACAGGGTGGATCACATGGGTCTCGCGTATCCTCCCGTGCAGCAACGGCAGGTAGATGCGTCGAAAACCGCTGTTCTGATTTGCTGCGAGGACATAGCTTCAGATCCATGGGCGTGCAGCGATTCATAATGACCTGTAGATCTCTCCACATCATTATACCCTCCTGTTGGCGCTAGCTAAATCAGCGATAGTGTAGCTTAGCCTGACGACAAAACAACATCCGCACTGCGATCATCGGGCCGGTGAGTCGAGGACCTGATGCAATCCCGAGAATCAGGTCGACGGACTTGAGCGCTGGTCAGACAGGAATACGACAAGCATCCACGGTCGGCAGGGAGATGGCTGCTTCGAAGACTTTCTGACCAGCCAATGCCACCCAAGCGCGGAGCACGACTACATGGCTCACGAGCGTGGCGCATTGGGCGGAGTGAATGGAGCTCGGCTCGTCACGCCCAGCTCCTGCGGACCAAAGGCGCTCGAAGAAGAGCATCACACTTGGAGAGCGTGGGTGCAAGAAAGCACGGCCCGAACTGAGTCATGTCTCTACGTGAGATCAATAATCCACTCCATTCTACAGGTCGACAAATCACACCCTAGGCTAGACATTCAAGTTACTTGAATTCTCAAGATGCCCAAAGGCCATCCAGCTGTCAACAACGGCCCAGCGTGATACTTATTGTGTCCGCCCTCAGCTACTGGAGGTAAGGATCGCCGTCAAGTGCAGGGCAACGGACAGAAATTCAATGTGATCAGTAAGCCTGGCTTAAGGGCGTTTTCCAGGGCTCGATAACACTCACCACTGAAGCATGGAAGTTGACTCAGCACAATTGACCGGACAGGTGTGAGCAGTCTCACAACCGTGTGTCTAGACTGAGAAAAATGCGCATTTAGTTGCTGGGCGGATCTTGTTCATCGAACATGTACCAAATCGTACAGCTTCTGGAAGCAATGGAAGGCTTTGCCGCGTCGTGCAGCCTCCTCTAGCCCGGCTAAGCCCGAGCCAAACGAGTCTACAGCGAGCGCACGGCTGGCGACCACCGCGAATTGAACTTGCCGAAGGTCAGTACCGGTCAGCTACCTGGAAAAGTTACCCCTTGCTTACCGTCATCATGCTGGCTCATAGGTTGACGACAACGAGACACATCCCGTGTCTATTTTCAGTATTCTCAGCGCACTCGCACCGACCGAATGGATCGCATAGGTGACATATCGCTTGTTACCTTCCGTTACATCGGTGATGGATAAACGGCGGCTTTTTTGTATCCAATCTGCTGCTGCAGTAACTCTGAGAGCTCGTGGATGGTGTGAGCTGGAAGTCGCTTCTGCAGTTCAATCTTGCCAGGCTATCCTGGGACTTTGTCGACGATGGATGAAGGTACATGGAGAAGAAGACGTACGACAAGCCACATGTGCTCGGAACACAGCTCTATAATTGTCACGACCGTGATAGGTTACAAGGTCCATGGTGAACCTGGCCAACTCATCGCTACCCCAGCCTTAAGTACGTCGCTTGTGTGGAGACTGCGTCAAACTAGCCAGCCTGGTTTCCGTATCGGCGAACCTGGATTAGTGCACCGTTTCGTCTCCCAACGCATTGTATACAATGTAAGCGGCACGACCCACTTGATCCCGTCGCCGGCCTGATTGTACGGACCCGGCTTGTTTTGCCGATCATTAGACTCTGATTGTGCAGCCTGTGAACAGAGGCTATGGAAGCTATGCAAAACCAGCATTCTTGATGGAGCCATTTGCGGCATGCGTAGGTGATCTTCGAATCCTTCGCTAATCACCTGCTTGTGCAATCAATTTTGGATGAGCACTTTGTCCATGAATAAGGGTCATGATCTCACAGCGGCGCTAGCCAAAGATAGGCAGGCTGGGGCATAGGGTCTGCATGCAGGAGCAACCGCCACGAGCAAGTTGGAGCGATGTACTTGCGTACGGGAGGGTCCGACGTTGAGGTCGAAGAAGCACAGCAACAGTTTTGCTTTTGCGCATCATCGCCAATTCCAGGAAGGGTCGTGGGGCTTAGGGGCTGCGAGTACAGAGCATTTTGATTGGATGGCCCTCCGCACACAGCCGCGTCGAACATGTTCCCTTCGCTAGGACAGAAAACACTGGAGCTGTCTCCTAGGCGGACTGCAATGGTCATACGATTCGGGAGACTTTAGTCGGCGAATACCATGGCCGTGGTCATGCCCTCCGAGTGGTGAATGAGCCGCCACGAGATACGACAGGGCGGTTGCACAGGAGCAGGTCATGGCTGCTCCTGCCTAAACAATACAATCTCGGAAAGGGCGCTGCGGAAGGCCTGCTACTTCCCAGGATGCCCTGCGGCGCACAAACAAAGTTGCTCTGCTATCAGCAGGGTCCCACACTCATGGACATTATGATCTAGCATCGATCGGATCTCATCTTTGACAATATCGATGACGAGACATGAGCATCATGCCTACAGCACAGCCCCGCGACGCCAGTCTACTAGACCGCAGCAACTGCCAGGAACCAATATGTGGTCCAGCTCCATCAGATCCGTTGAACGAGACCCACGCCACTCCGTCCTTCCGATCGACCCATGCCATGCAGCCGGATCCGTTCGCCTATTACAGAGCTTTCCTAGATACGAGCTCGTCGCAAATGCAACCGCAAACGCAAGGCCAAGGGCGCGATCGGCATTACATCGCACAAGATCACGATGATTATGCCTGCCACGATATTACCGGGACCGGAGATATGCAGCACGCCATGGAATATCAGCAGCAGGCCAGAGCTCGAGGCGTTCCCTACAATCTTGCCGTTCGGCTCGCAAATCGCTCCAATGGCGCGCCTCTAGCCACTATTGTGGAGCAAGGTTCTTACTCGACGCTAAACTCACATGGCTCCCTCCTCAGCGTGGGACGCTTCCCTTCACTCCGTGTGGTGGAAAATGCCTCGCCGACGCGCTCGTCACACAGAATCTCATACACACCAGAAGAACATGTTCTCCAGCGCATCACAGAAGATGTGCAGCGAGGGCATCTGTTGAAAGCACCAAGCAATACACACGATGTGCCCTTGTGCAAGGATTACAGCAACTCGTTCCGGGCTGATGATGCCGCAATCCCATCCGCGTTTCCCAGTCTTAAGCCATCGCAATCTATTACCCATCGGAATGGCAAGGCCGACTCCGACGCTAATACCAGCAATGTCAAAAGCTTCTTTCGTGGCGTTATACACAATGTTCGAGCTGCCTCGAGAACCCGGTCTAGGTCGTCCTCGACGCAGATGTCGCTCGTTGAGAACCATAGCGATCGGCCGGGTGCGAGCGAGGATAGCCTACAAAGTCAATTGCAGGCATCTGACATGTCTCAACTGGGCGATGACACATTTGACACGCCATATCGTTTCCCTACTGCATCCCAGGCCCTAAGCGCGACTAAAGCGTTAGCTTCAGAGAATCAGGCCAGAAACGGGCAGTCATCCATGGCTGATCCTAGTTTCTCAGCTCATGCGATAGTCCCCAATTCTGACGTCGACCCGTATACGCTCGAGTCGCAAACGGCATTTGGAGCCGTGTCAAAGCTATTACCACCGTCGGCTACAGTCCGCCCGCGTGAACGGTCCTCTTCTGTGCGTCTTGTGTACCCGGAAGCACGCGATGGGGCGCACGATGGCGGTAGCGCTAGAGTACCAACGCTGTCAAACGAGGCCAACAACACTATCTCAGCTGGACACACATTTTATGGTGCAGGTAAGAACAACCATTCACTCACAGAGCATGACCACGCGACTGAGGCTAGTCACAATGCGAGCTTCTGTAGTACCATGTCCACTTCCTACTCGGGAACAGTAGTTGGTGTCGATGTCGACCTTCAGCACGACTTCCCTCATCCAGTGCGTCCCTCGCGTTCGCCCACACCTATCGCGCCAGTATGGTTCACTCCGCAGATGGCCGAGCTAGAACGGCAAGCTTCACTCTCTGAGTCACCTCCGGAGCCGGATCAAGTTGCTGAGGCAGAACCTACGCGTCGCTCAATCACCTCATCCGCATTGACGTCTTTACTACCAATAGCTGCAGCATCGGGCATCGTTCGCCCCAACTACGACACACCGAAGATTTCATTCTTCTCGCCGTCCGGCAATCTCATCCAGCCAGAGGGCAGTTCGACGCCAGGCACTACGAGCGCTTCGGACTTCAGCGGCTCACCCACTGCAACCACATCGTACTACGATAACAAAACCACACCTGCAACCTATCGTGCGTTCCCGAAAACGACATGCCTGCCACCCCCAAGGCCCTCTTTGAGGCCAATGACCACACCACCCACATCCTCGGTTCCGCTCCCTATGCACCTACGTTTCCATCACAACTACAAACGCCCTGAGCAGTCGCAGATCGACTCTACGGTTGGCTCCATAGACTCGTTCATCTTGCCTGCACCGTTAGTTCAAGGCTGTGACGGCATAGCGCAAACCGAAAGTCTTGCGCCTTGCTCCAGACCGCGTCATTCGTACGAGAAGCTGAATGTACGCCCGCGCTACAAACCTCGCAGATCAGCTCGATCATTCGCCGAGGACCTCAAATATGAGGCGAGGTTCCACAGAGCCCGATTGATCACGGCCATCATCGCAAGTTGCACCTCGTCTGGAAAAGGAAGGGTCCTTCGCAAGCGAAAGGCTGCGAACCGTAGAGCCGCAGCAACCGCATACGTTAGCATGCCCCGAAGCTGCGCAGGTGAGGCTACAGCCAGACCTAGTAAGAAACGAGTACACCCCCGTCAACCCACAGCTCGGCGCGAAGTAGGGGTCCTCGGACCGCTTGCCGGGCACATACTGCGGATTTGCTTCTGCCAGCCATACGACGGTGCAGGCAAGACGACGGCCAGCGGCGCTACCAACAAGACGTGCATTGGCAAGAGCAGCAACCACACAGCAAACACGCAGAGCTTATCGAAGAAGGAAAGCCCTCGCTCCAACGCGAACGACATCGACGTGGATGCAGCCTTACCCAACGCGCGGGTCGTGACCGGAACCGAACGGAAGGTCAGCAACACCGTACGCCAGCGCACCACGGTCCGCAAGGAGAAGAGACACTCGTCCACCGGCTCGAATCACCACTCCAGAACGCGCAGTGACAGTGCCGTCAGCGTGGGTGTGGCACCCAGCACCGCTACCGCGCGTGGCTAAGCTGACGGGCTAGACCGCATCCGTTGTGACAGCTGCCACACAGGTGCGTGCGAGTACGTGGTTGTTCAGTTCGGTACCGACGTACCACAAGGAAAGCGGGTCTTGTCACATCCCATCAGAAACAGGCATTGCGGTCGTCGCTGGAAGCGGTATAGCTTGGTAGTATGCTCGTTCCGCTTTGGGAATTTGCGAAAGAAGGAAATGGACACATTCGTTACTGCTTTTGGATACGATGGAAAGTAGGATTACGCGATATGGTTAGACGTATGTTGTTAGTTGGCTCGATGGAGCCCTGGAGGTGTGTGTGGGGATGGTAATGGGTGGGATCGACAATGTTACTTCTTTTCTGAAAGGGATGGGTTGTTCCACCAATTGTGCTGCGGAATGACTCGACAGTCGTTCTTCCTGAGGACTGCAAAGTGATGTTGCTTTTGCGTATCGTTCATGTGTTCTTCTGAGATGTGAATGGTGTGCATATACGCTATCATGATGGTGCTTAAGGACAGGGGCGGCTACTCCACTTCCCCACACGGAAGAAGCAAACAACAATGCCGGTCTGACGTCTTCTTTGCTTTGATCTTCCAAGGGGATGCCGCGCTGCATATCGGCAACTTGATAGTGCATACGCAGATAACTTCAAGCATCACAACCGACGTCAGGTTACAGCATCCCACGCCTGGCGAGTAGAACGCACCAATGCAAATTACTCGCGAGCTTCAACTGTACAAACTCGTATCGAGAGTAACGCGTCAAGTCCCGATGCCGGTAACCCAAGCATCACCGCACGTGTATTGTTGATATTGCTGAACAAAATGAAGCGGCCAGTGAGACGTTCCGAACACTATGATAAAGACGTAGTAATTGGAAGAGAGACCCGGATATCGGCGACCTACTCCAAGTATCTGGAGCCGCCAAGACATGACAACTACAACGCAGCGGTGTACTCCGCTGCCGTCTGTCATCCATCATCCACACATACACATACATACACGCGAGGTGCTGAGAAAGCGATATGCACACCGATAACCAACATAATTTGCTCTCTACCTCGGCGTATGTCTACACGCTAACAGGCCGTCGGGTTCGTGTAAGCTCTACAACGCTTGGCTATAGAGCAGGAAAACGCATGGAAGTACCGCCTAGAACTGCCGCTTGAGCGACCCGAGAAACCATATGCAGGTACTGCCCGGTTGAGTAACAATGCATCCGAGCCGAGGAGCTGAACCCGGTCAGCTCAACTAAGCACCGTCTCCCTTGCGTATATCAGAGAGACCAATAGTTGGCTATACGCGACCATCGAGATTCACGCATGAAAGTCGCGTATTAAGCGTATCCGAATCCGAGAAAACGTGGTTCCCGGTAAACAGGTTCGAAAGCAACAACAAACGCCTCACTTTCTTCTCCCACGTAGGGCGGACTCGCCGAGCTCCGCGGACTCATGCAGCTGACGACAGATTGGGACATTGGGTAAGTCGCGAAACCCCATGGATGCGTCTTGTTGGTGTTTGTTGTGGTGTGGTGTACGGCTGTAGTACTTCATCCAACCCCCCTGCCCGTCACGGCACTCCCGACGCCTCACGCCTGCGTTATCGACCCAGGGCGTCGGTAGCGGGGGGCACCGCTCATTCCGGGTCAAAGGATGTAGATCCGTCCCCATTCGAAAACACGTGCATATGCCCATGACAAGCACCGAACGAGAACTTGAAAACCTGGAATTCTTGTTGCTGATCACTGACCTCGAGGTCGCTACGAAGGATTACAGCCAGGGATAGGCGAAAGCGTATGTGCGTGTCGATCATGTTCCTCTCTCTCGATGTCGTGCAGCAAGGGCGCGGTAGCTACATACAACGGTGGGCGAGTGGGTTTCGAAAGGACACGGTGACGAGAGGGTTCGGAGTCCGCGGGCATGAGGATGCGAGGATCGGGCTTGGTGGTGACTGGCTCAATAAGGGTTGCTGGACTTGTCGGCCCAGAGGTCTTTCCAAAATTGGCGGAACCCATACTGCTTCTCGCGGCGCTCATCTCGCACGCGGACTGGCCCTCCAATAATGTTGTCGAGCACGCTCTTCTGGCCGGAGCTCTGCCAACTATCTGCTTTCTTGGGCGGTTTGCGTGCGCGTTCGAGGATGGCCCCGGCGAGCTGGGGCGCGACGTCGGCGAAACAGGAGTTCAGCTCGCGCTGCAGGTTGTAGTAGGGTCGTTTAGCTAGCTCGGGTGCGAGGAGGTTGTAGCTGCGCGCCTTGTCGTTGAGGTCCTTGATGGCGACTTTCCAGTAGCCGCCTTCGATACGTTCCCAATCTGGGTCGCGGAAAGGGTACGGTGCTGGTGCGACTGTTGGTTCGGGAGCTTGAACAGGTACTTCCATGGTTTCCGTGGTTGTCTCTGCTATGGTAGCTGCTGCTGGGTCCTGCGCTACAGCTTCTGGGGAGGCATCAAACGTAACCTTTGTTGCTACGACTTGTTCCGTGACTACTGGCTCCGCGTTGGACCCTTCATCTGAGTCTACCTTCAGTCCTCCAGACAAGGTAATTTGTGACATGTGCCCGTCATCGTCAACAGTGGTGAGGGTCTCTTGTTGTTTCCTTCTCAGAGGGTTTGCAATCAGCTCTGCCTTTGCGAATGCCTCAGCTGTCTTGATCTGGTCCAGTAGCGATCCGCCCTTGCTGGCTATCACGCGCGCAGCGTGCCTCTTCCAGTCCGCCCGTAGTCGAGTTCTGAACTTGCTTGCAGCCGATGTGAGCTCTTGCTGCTTCTCGATCCACGGCGGTACAATCTCTTGTTTTTGTATAATCTTGTTCATAAAGTATTCGGTCGTGTCGATGAAGGGGCTCGATGCGTTATAGTCTCTTTCAATGTTGGCCTTCTTTCCACGCGGGATGTTCTTGAATTGTCCACGAGCGATGGCATCTTCGATTCTCTTATTCGCAAGCGATGCGATCCCTTGGATAGAGCCAGGAACGATGGTGCGCGCACCTGGTTCGAAGCGGTCTTTGAGGTCCTGCAACCGCTTCTCTCGGTCGAAAGCCTCTATACTCTCGTCTTCATTGATGGAAGCGTAGACGGTACTCCTGTCGCGTGCGTTGGCCAATCTCACGCCCCGCCCCTCCTTGCTCCGAGCATGTCCGGTATCAATGGACTGGGGTATAGGAACACCTGGCATCTTGGCTGGTCGCCCGAGTCGCAGCGGCTTATGGGCGTCGTTCAGCATGCGTAGGCTCGCATCGTGGATGGACTCGGTGCCGGTCCAGGCTTCTGTTGTGGCAAGCTCGCGTGTGTGGCGGGAGGCGAAGGCGGGCAGCTCTGCTTCAGACGACTTGAGGTTTGCAGATGCGATTCGCTGTTCGAGTTGTGCCTTGAGGTCTGCACTGAAGCTTGCCTCTTCCACAGCTTTGACGGCGCCATGTCCTCCCGACTCCAGCGCGTCTTCACTCATTTCTCGCATGCGTCGCGTGAATGCGCCTTCCTCCTTTTCGGCCTCCGCGTCTGATCCATGGCCATTGTTTCTTGTGTCTTTATGCTCCTGTCTCCCGTTATCTTCATCTTTGCGCTGTGTTGCCGTCTGCCCGTATCGCCTCAGACGCCCTGCGGGCGCGGGTCGGGATGGAATGAAGACATTGGATCTTCGATTCGTGCGCAAACAGCGTGCGCAGATGTACTGTCTCGGAAACGCAAATGCGGGCATACAGGAGAGTCGGCGAAGGGAGATGGGGTGTTGGAGGAGTGGCGGCGTCGAATTCTTAGAAATGGCCATCTCACGTCATGACCTCCAGGTTTAGCGCGAGTCTTATCGATAACAACCAGCCGAGGCTCCATCAAAACACCAACACACCTTACACTCAGACTGCATGCATACACTGTCATGACTTTATAACGGACACCTAATGGTACATTCAGACAGGGGTATATACTCAAGAGAAGCCAATCATTCATACCTAGCCACCCGCACCACCTTCAGCAACATTCACCAGCAGATCTAGCAAAGTATGCCTCTTTTCCTTCTCGCTTTTGATCATACACATCGCAGTAGCCACAAATACCTGATACAACCTACTCCTCTTCATGCGCAAGAGCCTCGCGCTTTCCGTCTCTTCCTCTTCCGTCCCGTTCTCACTTCGAGGGGGCATATCTGGCGCATATTCATCAACCAAACGCAGTATAACAGCATCGAAGAACTCCATAGTACCACTCTTTCTACTCGCAACAGACGACGTGTACACCCCCAAGCATACCTCCTGTGGCTTCTCTTTCTTCTCTTCAGTGACGGGTAGCCTAGCGACTAGCTTCAGATGGTTGAATCGCAACAAGACACCACACGTTCGAGTCTCCTTGATAGTACCTGTTCCTTTCCAGAAAAAGTCAATACCGACATACTGGAAATGATAGCATCTCGTGTTACGAGAAAGAGGGCTCTTCCACCTTAGATACACCACCTCGTCGGCTGTCGCAGGTTCTTCTAACTTGCCATTCGTCCTGGCAATAACATCGGGATCCCGTCCTTCGCCAGTCTTACGCATGTTTTTCACGGAGCGAACGTAATCCTTGCCCGTCTCACCCCACAATCTCCACGTCCGCACTTTGTACCCTTTGAGCTTGTGGTGATCGCCTTTCAGCGCTTTCTCGTCGCCACCGTTGTGACGCCATGGTACCACGCCGCGTGGGTCGAGTATGCCGGGGGTGGATGGGAGGAGTTGCAGTGTGTACTCTTTCCAGAAACATCCTTCGTGTATCAGGATAGCTGGCTGCGCGGTGTGCTTACTGCTCCCGGTGTAAAGTACTTGAGGCGGTACGTGGAAGGCGAGGTATGGTCGGTGAAGGAAGAAAGCATTATCGTCTGGTTCTACACTAGATAGTCCAGCGTCTTGACGCTCTCTCTCCTTCTTGCGTGTAGCCTTCTGTTCTTTGATCGTTGGGCCAGACCGTCGTTCCAGATTGGGATCAAGGACTGGCGTAATGCTTTTATGGCACTTATGCTTCTCGTAGATGTGGAAGATCGACTTGGTCTCGGTGCTAGGTGGTAGCTCGAGGTCGTCTTCCATAGGCAGGCGAGTAACCACAACACCTTCAGCCGGGGTTATAGACGTTGTATTGGTTGCAGTGCCCTGATCATGTCAACATCTGTTCAGCGAGAGGCTGTCGGTATCAGCACACATACCTTCGTATCGTCCGCTCCGCCAAGCCTGATTGTACCAATGTCATCTGACTCTATGACAGTCGTCATAGCTCTTCCTCGCGATGTTCATCTTCCTACATATGGAGCCTGGCCTGTGAATCTGGCTAGCCACTCCCTATATGTGGTGGTTTTGGTGGTGACCAGATGATGCACGACGGTCGCGCCAAGCACTGTTGTGGAGGCTGAGCCGCTCGCATTGCTCGTGTTGATGCCATCTGCTACATTATCCAATCAAAACCTTGTAACATCTGTTTTAAGTATTACGTGATGGTTCGATTGGCCACCGTTTTGCTAAGAAGTTGTGTAAGCACATGCAAACTGCTGAGGCAGATTTGAGGCAGAGTTCACACAAACCTGTCCAGGCGCAACACCTCCCAATGGCATGCACAGTGCACCAAGACTCTTGTGCACCGTAATGTGGTGTTTTTCGAGATTCCTCAGCAATATAATATGCCATTCCATGCTATTTACTGACTCTCAAGCACCCTCTTCGCGCCATCGCTGATGCGCTTAACCTCCTCGTGTCCCTTCTTCACCACCTCCTCCATCTTCTTCTTCGCCTTCTGGAGGTCGTCCGGTAGCACATCGCGATTCAGCTCGAACTTCCTCAACTTCTTGTTGTGTTCCTGGCGTCCTTGCTGTATCAGCTTGTCTGCTCGCTCAGAAGCTTTGACGGCCGACTCGACGGCTGCGCGACGCGATTCTCCCGTTGGCGGTGGGAGCGGTACTTGGATGGTGAGTGGGTTCGAAGGTTCGGGCGTGAGAGGCGTGAGCGAGTGCGGTGAGGCGGCGATGGCGCTTGTGACGTGCTTGACGTGCTGTGTGGTGTTAGCATTTTTGGTGTTGTCGTAGTAGCGGCTTTACCTACCGTGTCTTCCCCGCAGATGACATTGAACATTCTCCCTCTGGGAACAACCTGTGCGATATCCCCAAGTCTCACCGTCTCTTTGTTTCCTGCCGTGCCCAATTGCACTTTCAAGTTCTCCACGATTTCGGGGTTCGTCTTTCCTCCACTGCGCAACTGACTAAGATCGTGTGTAAGCTTCTCCAGAGCCTTGAGGATCTGTGCCTCCAGGCCTGAGACATCGTATGCTTCGTCGGTGGGTGTCAATGGGCCCGGGTTGCTGACGGGAGGTGCGGAATCGGTTCGCGCATGGGCTTTGTTCGCTTTACCGGCTTTCTTCTGTAGTTGTGTGCTTATAGAGAAGCTCCGGATGGCGTGTGACGAGCATTGTGGTGTTGGGCGCAGTAGAGGCCTGGGTGGTGTGAGTGGAGGGGTTTGCGCAAACCAGCGATTGAAGCTTACAGACTGCGGCTTGGCGCCTCAATCGACCTCGAAGATGTGCACAACGGGCTTCTTGAGCTAAGACGTAGTGCGGCACGTGGTATGGCGGTGCGAGACATGGTTGCTGGTATATGAGGGTGATGGCTTGCTGGTGCAGCTGTTTACGCGGGCGGAGGCACGGACAATCTTCCGCACGCGACAGGGACGTCATCGCGTTCCCGAACATAATCACTAATCAAGCACCCATCCATGGATGGACTGCACGTAACTTTCGGTTCTGACTTTCGGTCCTGACTTCCATCCCCGCATTGCTGACAGGCAGATTCCTGGTTCACATCATTGCTTATCATCAAAGGCTAAATACAAGGATAGATCACGGCATGTCTCTTGGAGGCATTTCGACAGGCCTGTCACCCGTCAAAGGGTCCCGATACCAGTTCTCCTCCGGGTCATCCAAGCATTCCCCTACCCTCACCAGCTTGTATCCATGCGCCCGTGCGTTGTCAATCATGAACTGTGTGTATCTATGCACGGTACCTTCGTGGGTGTCGTGCGCCAGGCCCAACCAGGCCCGAACCCCGTTACGGTTCTTGCCCTTGATCTTCTCCATAAAGTTCTCTTCCGTGTAGGTGTAATTACCTGCCCAGTCTCGTCCATCAAGGTCGGCTGCAGTCTTTCGGCACAGTCAGTTCGGTCCTTCACGCTGCTCTCTGCAAACTCACCACATGGTAGCCGAGCTCTCCCATTTCGGCCTGGCATTCAGGGCCGCAGATGTTGAAGGGCGGGCGCATGTAGGTCGGGAAAAAGCCTAGGATGTCGTTGAGGACAATCTCTGCTTTTATCTGTTCGTCTCTGCGCTGGTGCGGAGTCATTTTGTCCAAATCCTTGTGACCCCAGGTATGCCCCGCAATCTGGTGTCCTTCCTTGTATATTCTTCTAATAAGCGCAGACCTCTCGTCGAACTTGTGGGCTATCAGCTCCCAATACAGATTGATTGTTCTGATATAGAACGTCGCTTTGACGCCGTTGGCCTTCAGGATGTCCAGCAAATCCGCTGTCCACTCCCGGGGACCATCATCGTACGTGAGGGCAAGAGTATTTTCCACTTTGCAATTGAAGATCTTCGTTCCGTAGGGAACAGCTCCCAGTTTGGGCCGAGGCGTATCTGATGTATTGAATCCTGGAGGCCATTGGGTGCCATCGCATGCTAACCCATGGTCCCAAAGACACGCATGTTGACCAGCAAAGTTTGGATGTGTCATGCGAATGCCCTGTTTGAAATGATGAGTAAGACGGCAGTTGATGTATCAAGATCTCAACTACTCACGTCTTTCGAGCAGCAACGGCTACACTCAGCTTGCTGAACTCCTGGTCCACATCTTCCGTAGTTGATAGTCTCAACGTTGACGAGTGGATTTATCACCGGGCATACATTTCCCAGTGGAGTGTAGTAGAATGGATGGTAAGCCCCCAATGCACTATTCATGATGAATTGGATATCTGGATGACTGATGCGGCGCTGTCCAGCTTTTCTACATCCGTTCCGATCATAGCAAGGCCGTAAGCCGGTTGCACAAGCTTCCCTCACGTCTGTTCGCCGCGTGTTTGAGTTTCCATCGGTGGTAGTGCAACAGCTCACCGCTCACATCCGAACCTCAGGGGCCAATGTCCCAAAGCGCCGGTATCGACTAAATAAACGCCCGTTAGGCCCGATCTCCAATTGTGCAGACAAAATTAGCCGGTCTTGACTTGGGTACCGAATGCGAAGACCGGACGATCACTTCCTCGGGCCGATTACGAAATATGGCGTGTATTACCATTAAGTAGGCGAAAACCGTAATGTACAGAAGATGGCCAGCCAAGCAACCAATAGAGCCACTTTGCGAATGCGACTGAAGATGTGTCGGCCTCTGACGCCCGCGTCAGCTATCATCGGTTCCAGACTTCAATTCGCACATCTGCCAAGGTTTCCAGAACTGTGTAATCTAAGCCAGGTTGTTTCGCCGCTACGACGATGGCGTCAAACGATCTCAAGACGTCAGGCTGCCAAGAACCTTCTTCCAATCTTGATACTTCGGGTATCGCCTCCTGGTTCACCAGAGGATCGCAAAACATGAGATCTACCTCTCCCGACTGTCGCATGTAGTTCAGCAACTGCAGGCCAGGCGAATGTGAAAGGTCCGACTGGCCAGGCTTGAAACCGACTCCGACGACAAGAAGCCTGGGGCGGTGTGTCGAACCATGCTTCTTGTGGCACTCGTCTAGCATAGTTGCCAAAAGCTGGCTGGCGATTCGCGACGGTCGCGACATCATCTTCTCGTGTGCTTGTTGAAGGAGCGGCAAATTGCACGTCGACATGAAGTAGATCGGGTTGACCGGGATGCAATGACCCCCGATTCCCAATGAAGGGTACATGGGCAGGTACCCAAAAGGTTTGCTGGCGGCTGTGCGTGCCACTTCGAACGGGTCGATCCCCAGTCCCTGGCAAGCGTCTGACATCTCGTTGGCGTACGCAATGGCTATCGTCCTTTGGCAGTTCTCGTACAGCTTTGACATCTCCGCGACTTCGGGTTTGCTGACAGGGATCACAGTATCGAAGACCGTCTCATACAATCGTACAATGGCATCCAGCGAGCCCGGGGCAATGTCGTCGAGCCCCGAGACAACCTTTGGTATTGATTTAGGCGGCGGCTCGATTCGACCTGGGTCGATCCTCTGGTGGGTGTCAGCCAGTCGTCGTTCTTTCGGACCAAAAAGTCATCCTACCTCTGGTGACATCCCAGCAAGGATGCCGCGCGATCCGGCCAGCGGCCCAAGCAGTGCTCTTGTCATGCCGACAGCAACGGTACTTTCTATGACCACTATCGACTTTTCGGTTGCGTAGCGTTGCAGCATGTCTATTGCGCTGCGAACATGTGAGGAGTCGACTTGGCCGTTCAATCCCAGGGTGGTCGGTACGCAAACGAGAAAGTGTGCCGCGTCTCTCAAATCAGTCTGATCGGTTGAGAATTTGACATTGTCTCTCCGGGAGTGCTTCAAGCGCAGTCTTTCTATTCGAGGAGCAGAGACGTCGTACCCAATAACCTGGTAAGCGGAAGAGAAGACTTCCATGAGATGTTCGCCGACATATCCCACTCCGATGATCGCAACAACGGAATCCTGATCGTACTTCTCCATGGTAATTCCGTAATCCAGTGATAATCCGTGGTCGTACAAACTGTGATGTACGAAATAACAAGCTCAGTAATCGGGAAGTCCGAGAGACGACATGGTTTAGGGACGAGGTATATATTTGAACTCGCTAAATTACTCCTATCTTGATACTCTACTGAACGCACAATCCCACTGAGACAGGACCGTATTGCGATGGCAAAATTTCATCCGGTATTGATACACTAGCAGCGAGTCTCGCTACGCGCCAAGTCTTAGCTTCGGTACTACCAAGTATTCCGAAGCGGTCCGTATGTTTGGACTCACCGGTGTACCTCCGAACTAATGCGTGTTCAGCATGAAAAATCGCCACAAAAATGTGTTTTAGGAAAGCCACGCACGCAGGCACAAGATGTTACGCCGCCTGGAGGTACCTCGGTGATCAGCCCTGTCACCGTCCCTGGCGTCCCTGCGTTACACCGCCTGAAACTGCGTCGCTAGTCGACGTTCTAGAGATTATCCAAACTTTCATGGTGGAGATGCTTAGTTTGATGCTCGTACCCTGACACATTGACCCTGAAGTCCAAAAGGTACATGGCGTTTGTACAAAATACTAGAATAGCATCTTTCGCTCCTGCAGCACTCGCCGTTCACCACATCACAACACGGGAATTCCTATCTTCTCCCCATGAAGATGGATGTCCTCAATACAGCGAGCTCGGGCGCTCAGATTGCAGGCAATCTCAAGAAACGATCGCGCTTTTTCTCCTCCAAGGTTCTGAGCAGCGCTATCGAACATTTACCTGATGTGAATACGGATCGTCTCAGGATTGAGAAATATGTAATATGGGCCATCTTAATACCATTCAAGTACGTGGATCAACGCCATCACTCCCCAATGCGCAAGACACGAGTTGCTAATAGATCTACTCAGCCTTTTCATAATGTACATGTTCGCAAACTGGGCAAAGTATTCCTGGGTCCTCTTCCCAAACCTAATTCTTCGAGCCGTTGTGGATATGATCGAAATCACCATGGTCATCCATGCCCTCATTCGAAAGCGATTGAACCCACCTAAAATCACGATCCCCGCAACACCGGAGAGCTTGGTCTACCTACTTTGCTGCTACAACGAGTCGTATGAAGAGATGATGAATTCGCTGGTTTCGCTGGCTGAGCAGCAGTCGCTGGCTGATCACAAGAAGGCTATTGTCGTAGTTTGTGATGGTCGCGTCAGCTGCAAGGGCATGACCAAGACGACTTCCGCCCATCTGAAAGAAGATATTGTTGAGCGCCCGACTAGCACGTTCATGAAGGAGGCGTACACTGCCTGGGACGACGGCCCAATGGACATTGAAATTATCAAGGGCGAATTCCGAGGGCTTCCAATCATCTGCGTTATCAAGAACGAGAACCGCGGCAAACGAGATGGCATCATCCTCATCCGGACGTTCCTGAACAAGTATAACCAACGCGAGACGAACCCCGATTTGAAGATGATCTCGCCCAAGCTTTTCGCCGAGCTCTGTGGCTTCCTTGAGACCCAAGCCATCCAGAAAGTGGACTATGCTATCGGAATAGACGCAGACACCCGATTCGACACCAAATGCATTCACAGCCTGATGCAGACCGCAAGAGAAGGCGACGAGATCGTGGGAGTAACCGGCTACATCCGACCAGACCCGATTGCTTTGGGAGGTTGGACAATTTCGTATCTCTATCAGAACGCCGAGTACATGGTTGGCCAGCACCGGCGTCGCCTGCGCCAGAGTCTCACAAGTGGAAAGGTGACGTGCCTGCCTGGCTGCTGTCAACTACTGCGAGTCTGCGAGGAGACAATGGGCGACTTCATCCTGGGGAAATTTGGATACTATCCCAAGGCTTCCGATGGTCTGTTTCGAACCGTCCGTTCCATGATGAGCGAGGACAGAGATCACGTCTGTCTCGTCATTGCACATTACGCACACGTCCGGACGCGTGTGAACCTCAGTGCGCGAGCGTATACTACTGCACCCACCACGCCTTCGGTCTTTGTCAGTCAACGCCGTAGATGGACGCTGGGGCCGCTCACAAGCGATAGTCTCCTCCTCAGCCGCAGATCGACGGGCTGGATGGAGAGGGCGTCTGCTTTGGCTTCCTTGACGCATTGGGTGCAGAACCCAGCGCTTCTCATCTCGAGATTCTTCCGTACGTACCACTCTGGCTGTGAATTCTGAAATCTTCCTAACAGATTAATAGGTGACCTGGACGATCGGACCATATTTTACATCGTAGCTTTCGAGTACTACCGACGCGTCTTCGACTTAATGGTCACCCTCATATCATGCGATTCGTTCATCGATGTTGTCCAGACGGTCATTGGCTGCGTTGCCTATACCTGGTCCGCAGCCTACGTCAACGTCTGCACGCAGTTCTACACGCTGTGGAGGATGGACGATTTCCGGTGGGGCAAGACGCGCATAGCGGTTGCGGGCAAAGAAGAAAAGACGCACACTGGGTAAAACCGGGCTTCCTGGACTTGACGATCGCGAACACAAAGAAGATACCAGGCTTCCTGGAAGAAGCGGATGGGGAGATTGGAGAGGTTGGGCGGTTTCTTTGTTCCTCTGCCTAAGGGTTCTCGGCCCCTGGCTTAGTTTGCGCCCTGTCGCATGCAGCCAATCGGGTCATAGATCGTACGTCACCCTCCGTAATCAATAATCATAGATATAGAAACGACTTTTAGAGAAACTTTCGACATCTGCATGCGTGTTTCATGGCTTTTTCTGCTTTGCTGTACTTTTGATGCAGCCTCGTTGGCGTGACAGGTTGGTGGAAGGTTCGGATGCGATCATGCCGGGCATATGCGATCTTGGAACGACCTCTTTGTTCCTTTTGCGACAGTATGACATCTTCCCTCATTGCCTTGGCTTACATTGTTGCCAGGCACGGTATTGATCGCCCCTTCATTGCCGTCCTCCGTCGTACAGTTAGTGTGCTTACACCGATCGCTCCTTGCAGTTCGCCCAACACAGATACTACGCGCGAGGTTCGCTGACTGCTCGCCCTCAGGTAGTGGAAGTCAAG